TCATTAAGTAATGTGTATGACGACTGGGCTAAATAGTTGCCGCTCAGCTATCACTCAGCAATCTTTTGTATTGACGACGAGTTCAACGTGTCACTGTTAGCTTATTCTAGTGATTTTGTTCTAGACGGGCTAGTTAAGGCGCCACGTTACGTCGTGGACGTCAGCAAAAATGTATTAACTCATTCAAGATTTACTTTCAATAAATTATATTAATGAAATTACATATTTGATGTATAACTTAACATTACCAGAGTGTGACCTACTTAGATCTTCTTTTTTAATAAGTCTAATTGAATTAACATTTTAAATGGCCTTGAGCAAACTGTTGTTCAAACTAAAGAAATTTTCCATCACGCTCAAGTGATAGTATTCACCACTGAGATCGTGTGGCTCGTGCTTTGGCTCTAACCCCCCAATCGTTATTAACATAGAGGTGTACATCCCATATTTCAGAGTGGTATATAAAGCAGGAATATTCCACACACTAGGCCTTCCACTAGATATCAACAGGAGAGAGAGCCACGCACGACGCCATGTTGTATCTTCTAGATTAAGCAGTAATTATCCCTTAGCTCCAGTTTATTCGGTATTTTTCTGTGTCTCCATTTGATAACGTGTAGGCTGTGTTGATTACTTAGGTATCCTATCCAGTGTTAGTAGTTTCAATGTGTTATTCTTTAAATCGTAAGTTGGGTCATTCATTTGTATATTTCTATTATTTTTACATAGCTATTTATTATTTAAACTTGTATGCATTTTAGAAGGTTCTAGATGGATTAAAATTATTATTAATCGCAGAAGGTCTTCGTGTGTGTTTTTATCCTAGACATTAGTTTCGAGTCCACGAAGAGTTTTTGTTTTCTGGTAGTCTTTTTAGTTTCATAAGTCATCAGTCTAAGACCAAAAAGAATTCGGGTATTGCGTAATCTTTACCAGTGGTAGAGGTACGTAATAAGAGACATAGTAATATAAAAATAAAAAATATAACAGACCACCATTGTTCTTAAACTACGGAAAATTAAATAATTTGTAATTATGCACGCTACACCGAATTCAAAACATTCTCTTTAGTGTACTGTTGACATCTCCTAATTATTTTTTTAGAAAATGCCCCCAAAATAGTCTTAAAGAGCGAGTGTCTTAAATAGAAGCATTGTGTTTACTTCTGTTTACATTTGAATTAATTTAGTGCATTTTTCAATTTGGGGGTTTAACCTACCCTTACAATTTTTAGAAAATGCCCCCAAAATAGTCTTAAAGAGCGAGTGTCTTAAATAGAAGCATTGTGTTTACTTCTGTTTACATTTGAATTAATTTAGTGCATTTTTCAATTTGGGGGTTTAACCTACCCTTACAATTCTGCGTCCAAACAGTGGACGCGGCGGTCGCTGTGTTATGTGATAAAGTGACAGTTAGTGCTGGTAAGGCGAATAACCAAATAAATACCAAACACAAAAAACAGCTTGGACTTGCTTGCGTGGTATAATTTAAAACTTATGTAGTTATTTTACAATATAGGTTATTTTTCTAATTAATGTATATTTGAACGATTGCTAGAATTGCCCAAAATATGAAGTACAATTTGCCTTAGTTAGAAGTTTCTTAATTTAGTAGTTTTAAAATTGGTTTTCATAGAAAAGGTGGGCAAAAAATATAAAATAATTTTAAAAATCATTATTAAAACTGTTGGTTAAAATAACGAGTTAGGTAATCTTTATTAAATACATTACTTACTTTATCCTGTAGCTGTTGGTACCTTAACAGAACATTGTTTGGTTACAATTTATTAACAATATAGTTATGAACAAACAAAGCACAAAACCTACATTTCGACTATCCTAAAAAACATGGGATATTAAACCAGTTTTTATTTTGGACCGACGTCCAAGAGTACTGATATCGTGCGTCTAGAAGTGGCAATGATGCATACACTTGGACCCTTGGGCTTTACCTACCGTCCTTATATAATTAACTTCCTACTTTAGCCAGTAAGCTTTAACAATAGAAACAACTGTTATTTTTAGGGTTATTAGCAACAATCAGGACAAAAATAAAAGATCTACTTCATTGTACATTTTATGTAGGCGTAGTATTTTTATTTTTAAAATACGTCATCTATTGCTAAACATTTTTATCGGCACTATAATCTATTTAAAACTTTTAGCTTAAATATTATATTCGTTGTTGAGCGTGTTTTATGGATACTAATAGGAATAATCCCAGTATCACGCAGTTTCTTTAGTAAATACAATTCTTCTATCTGGATTAGAAATTACATTATCGCACTCAAAAAGGTGCAATTTAGCAGATGAAAGTAAAGAGGGAGTGATCTCCCCGAACATTTTCGTATAGAACGTTTTTTAAATATAAGAGAATCGCGTAGAAAAAAAGGTTGCGCACCGAATGAACATAAACATCGTGAGTGTAACAGAAGGGAAAGTTAGCGCTTTATAAAAAAAAAAGACAGAAGAAATCATGTATCAAATATATTTAAAACATATTTTTATTCACTATGCAATTAATACTAAAAGTTGCGGAATTTTATTCTGAATTGAAATAAATAGGCATTAAGATCAAGGAAGTGAAAACGATAAATTTACAACACTTACGAATTACATAAAAAGTGTTTTGTTTTGCTGAATCTGTACATATAGGCAATAACTTTGGAGTTACAATTTAGAAACGGAACAATAGCTTGTGTGTGCAAAAATAATATACTTATTTTTTTATAAATTGGAAAAAATTTTTTTATACATTCTATGTTTTGTACTATATGTTCATTCTTCCCTTTGAAGATTCTGCATCATTGTAAATACATAGGTCAAGAAGAGGAAGTTTTATCTACATAAGCGAGTTCCTAACATTTTGTTGCAATAAACACATTTTTTGTTGCATTAAATTATTCTGATTGTGCTCACTTCAGTGTGGGCGCTGGACATATAACATACAGTGGGGCCCATTTAAGTGTGGGAGCAGGACATTACACCTATAGTAGGGCCCATTTCAGTATGGGGGGCAGGACATTACAGTGGGGCCCATTTCAGTTTGGGAGCAGGACATTACAGTGGTGCCCATTTCAGTGTGGGACCAGGACACTACATCTATAGTGGGCCCATTTTAGTTTGGGGGCTATACATTACACAGAAAATAGGGATCACCGGTTACCTTTTTTGAGAAATCGGAAAGAGTGGGTCCCATTTCCTTTTGCGAACAGGACATTATATCTACAGTGGGCCCATTTAAGTGTTGGAGCAGGACATTACATATATAGTGGGGCCCATTTCAGTGTGGGGGCTATACATTAGACACCGAATAGTAAACATTGATTTCCTTCATTGAGAAATCAGAAATATTGTAAAATACTAATTCTGATACAAGAAATGCCTTCACCTCCCCCCCCAACCCCTGAAGAGAAGCCTGGAAGAAACACTGCGCACACGCTTAATCATTCAAACCCAGATCTCCCCAACCCCACCCCCAACCATACACACCCAAAGACATACACACACGCATCCACACCGACCAACACACACCCATCCACTGCCACTCCAAACAACCACAACCAAACACGTAAAAACACACTTACACACACCCACACAACCACACCAACACACATAGAAACACAACCACCCCCATACACACTTACCCATATCAACTTCTACCCCAACCCCAGTTGGTTGCTTCTTAATTCTAGTGAAGGTATTCTATATACACGATAGCGACCCAAGCTTTTATTTTTTAAATTTTAATTAGTAGTTCAATATTGCTTTAAAGAAAATCATTTATTTTCTCCCTTGTAGTGCATTATTACAAAAAAAGCGTGTTATTAAAAAGTTTTTCTGTATTGTTTAACTTCCTGGTATCAGTTAAGCAAAGTGGATGTTCGTGTAAACAGCTTAGGCTACTGAGCTCACTTTTTAGCCTAATTAGATGATTTAGTTGGTCTTAAAATGAGGTCACTGTATGACCGTTGTCATCAGACTGACGCCAGTGAGTAGCGGCCATTGTCGAGAGTTCGGTGTCACTTGACACAGGGATGTGTACAGATCCTGTATTGTCTACCACACACTGTGTAGCGTTTGCTTAACATAGAGTACTAATGTAATTTACCCACAGAAATGTAGGTGTTACACATATGTACTGTGCACTTCGCCTAAAATCCATAGTGGTTGTTGTTACAATAACCTGTGTTGTACTCATCAACAGGGACATTATTCTAAAAATAAATTAGTAACAGAAAAGTTAATTATTTAAAAAACAAGAACACTTGATTCCCTGACTTAGCCTTAACTACTATCAACCAATACATGCATTACTTTATATTGAAACGGGGAAAAAGCCTGAAACCTTCATAAAGCTAGGTTACAAGGTCCCATCTGCACCTTTAGTGAAAAAGAGGAAATCGATTTTTAAAATTTACTTTTTGTTTATCTCAAGCAATCAATTAAAATATTGTTTCTAATTTATTTAGTAGTATTGAACTAATTCTAATAAACCAATTAACCATCACATAAATACCCTACATTTTAGAAATAAAAAATTGGAAACATAAATTGAAAGTAATTCAAAAATCAAATTGTTTTTTTTTTACATGAAATTATAGGTGGCAGTAAAAATAATATATTTCAAATTATTCATTTGTAATGCAATATGATAACGTATTTTTCATAAAATTGACTTTTTTTATTCAGTTGTAATTTCAGTTTTATAATGGTTGGTTCTAAACAAGCTCATAACAAATGTATTCTGTAGCTCATTTATTTGCCTTTCTTGCCATTAGTGCGTCGCTTTCGTACACAAATGTAAGGTGTACACTCTATGTATTTAACAAGCTAAACCGCAAAAAATATGATTTTTGAACACAGTAATGCAACTATAATCGTGTATCGTTATATTAACACTTTTAATATTGTGTTACAAATACATAGTAATAAAAAATTATTTACACATAATAAATGGAATATTATTATAAAAACTATAAGAGTATATTGTCCTACACTTTAGTTTATTTACCGGCAGGAATCGTTTTAAATGTTTAATACTTTATGTATCGAAAGCTATTAAAATAATGTAATACATTACTTGTGCTGTAACACTTAAGTTCAATGTATAAAAACTATTTTACTTATTCACTTGTATGTATTTAATTAATATAAAAAAGTAAAGAATTCTCTTTAGACCTAGTTATCCATTTGGCAGATAAAGCAGACTTCATATGTTTCTTGACTTCAACACTTTCCCAGCCGCCTCCACTTTCCCTAACATTAGTTAGGTACCCATTAGAGCTGGCTTGACTTAGGGACGCTATGCTGACTCGGACTCGAACTCGTGACTTTAAGTTCGCAAGGTGATTTTGTGTAGGTCTACCTATTTTTACTCTGTTCACAAAATATTTATTTACAATTTGTGCTCATGCTGAACTTCCATACATAAAATTCAATTGATGAAAAAGTTTTTTTTTAGTATTTTCTTATTACAGTCAAATACGAAGGATCGATGTCGGAGAATTCTACAAACACATGAACAAGTGAGAAAAAGTAAGGTTATTTAATGAATAAAATCCTTAGCAAAACAAAAAATATATATTAAATGAATAAAATATAATGCACTAATTGATCATGTACTAATAATTTTAGCAATTGTGTTTAGGTTAATTAATTTCTATTTGTTCCAAGTTACCTAAAAAAATCCACTGTACAACTAAAATATTTGGTGAAATTAAATAATTCGTTCTCTTTAAAAAAAATCAATCAAACTTGAGTTTGTCGCTTTCAGACCTAAAGCTATAAAGAACGTAGCGTTCTTTTAACAAACTATCAAAAACAAAACATACAATATAACAATTTTTTTATTAAACTTTGAATAAGATCTTGTTACACACATATAATAAATAAGAAGAAAATATCAATGTGTAATTGTTATGATAGAAAAGAGGGAGTGATCTACATTAAACGTTCTCGTATAGTACTTTTTTTTTGTAAAGGATAGAATCGCGTAGAAAAAAAATGTGCACCAAATGAAAATAAACGTGTGTATAATATAAATTAAAATGTGTGCTTTAATTGAAAAAGTTAATTAAACATTTAATTCAGCCAAATTCAATGTCACAATGCATTGTCTTCGAGTATAGACCTAGGTAAAACAGTTTTAAAGAAAGCGGATAGCTAGAAGTGATCTTTTTTTCAGAAATCGGAAATAACGTTAAGTAATACTTCAATTCACACACAAATAAAACCACTCAAAATTTGTTAGAATCAAGAGAATAAGACTTTATACTTCAGTATAAAACTTTATTTACTTAACTAAAACGACACTTAAGTTATCGTTATTTTAGATATCAGAAATATAGTAAAAGTACCACTTACGTATAGTAAGTATAGTAAAGTACCACTTTCGGTTTCTAAATATCGAACAAAACATACACATAAAATGTGATACTTAATATGTAAAGTAGCATAAACGTTATGGGCTTTTGAGAAATTGTAAGTAGAGTAAGTACCACTTTTGGTTACCAAAAATCTCTCAAAAGTTGATACATAACTAAACACTGTGACTTTATAAATAATATTGCCTTGTTGCAACAGCGTTTTAAAATTCGAAAATTCAAAAAACATTAAGGTAAAAAAACAAAAATTATTAAAATATGTGATATTGTTTTTAAAACTAGCTAGGCAATGTGGCTCTTTTAAAAAAAAAATAAAAGAATAAAATAAATGAACGTGTTTGCATATGACTATGGTATTCGTTTTGAATGTCATAAAAACAGTTCTTGTTTCAGCCGTTTCAATTTATAGGCTTCTCATAAATGTGGTAATCTGTTATCAAAAGAAGCATGATAATGGTGAGTTGTGTGCTTAAATACAGGGTATGTGAAAAAGTTATTTGAAAAAAAAAGCAATTCTAAAACAGAAAATTCAACTAAAAATATAAATAATTTGTCTAAGTGCTACATTTCCTGTATCGCTGAGCCGGCACTAGTCTTTAACAGAAATGTTGCTGCCGTTGATCCAGCTTAGATTTAATGTAAACTAATTAGTTTAAAATTATATAAAATAAAATGAAATTTAAAATACCCGATTCTGCTTGATTATAAACGTGTGTCATTTCGGCAGCATCTGTATTATAATATTTACTTAGAATAATATTTTATCAGAACATGAATTAAAATATTTTTAAATTTTATAAAAGAAAATATTTATATAATTAGATATGCATTATATATTTTTAAGTGTAAATGTAATTTAAAATAGAAGTACCTGTACGTGCATATATTTCTGTCTTTTCTTTTCGTTGCTTATTTTTGCATCGTAGAAAGCACCTTAAAATTGAAGATTGAATATCAGTTTCTAATGAGAAATGCATTTTATTGAATCCAGCTTTATTTGATTACAAATATAATAATTCAGCGTGGTAAATAATCAAATAATTGAACTTAATTATCTGCTAATTATGCGTGACTGCATTTTTATTTGCGATAAATGTTTTATCAACGTAAAAAGCATAGAAAGTATAATATCTACAATGAACCTTTTTATAAAGATCCCAACTACAACTCCAACAACAAATGCGAGAAAACTTGTTAACGACGTGATGACAGCAGAAGTGATGGGTTGGTTGGCTACTGTACTATCTATACAAATGGTCAAAATCAGTTTAAAATATTCAAAACACAAATAAAAATGCCCAAACATATAATATGCCGCAGTTCCATCGTTTGATCGGGCCATTTTTCTGTTAGGTTTATATAGGTTAGGACAATGACAAAATGCACTTCACACAGAATTAATGGACTCTAGATATATCATATGTATCATTTTTAGTGTTATAGTGTCAACTTTTCTTTATTGGTAATTTTCCTTAATGATGAGTTGCAGATTGGTTTATCTATTGAAGATATTTTAGCTTTTAGCATAAATTGTATAAAATAACTGACGTCTGAAACGGGTGGTGAGAGTTGGGACACGAACGTGTGGGGCAGCGAATTATTTCAAATATTGTGGACCAAATCGGAAGTTATCTACATAAAAACCTACTTTAAGCCAGCAGTTCATCAAATTCATTTGTATAAAATAGTTTAAAAAGCAGGCTCATTTATATTCATTTGAATAATGCTGAAAGTTCGTCAAAATGCTAGAGAGGTAATATTTTTTGAAAAAGCCACACGGAAATTCTACCTATCCAAAGTGTATCTGAAGAACAGATGATAGCATTTTTGGAGCCACCTGGAATATAAGAAACTACTAAGTAAACAGCGAGAAGTATATTGTTTGAATGTTAATTTTGGAATGTTAAAACGAAAAACAAAGCGATATAAACCCCCTGGACAAAAACCCCCAAATTGAGGTTTATATAAGGAAAAACCAAAGATTATGAGAACCAAAATTAATTAAATACAAAACAAACATTAGAAAAAAAAACTTTTTTTATTTTTATTATAGCTTCAAAAAGACAGCTATGCCTCGCAAATACTAAATAACGGTGGAGTCATTAATTATATCATCAACATTCCTTGGATCAGACAGTGGGTGTTTTAACGTTTGACGTTGACGCCTGATGTTACGCCGTATGTGTGGAACCGAGGGCAACTTGGCCTTGGCCTTATTTCCGCTAATCGTATTAATGGACTGAGTGATGATCTGCTGGGGTGTTGCTTCCGTTTCTTCTGCCAGTTGTTTCATCTGCTGCACTACTTTACACAATTCAAGTTGAGATGTATCTGGTCCGTGCGAATGTTCATTACAACGTCCAACAAGCTGTTCACCATGAATCTTTATCTTAACTTTGCATTCTGTCTTTTTGCGTCTTTTGGAACACTCAAATGACACAACGCCGTTCGCCAGATCTTTTTGCTTGACATTAAACATAGCCTTCAAAAGTCAAATTTAAATTGCCTTTATTGGATTGTACGAAATTCATTCCAGAAATTATACGATTTGTGGAGAAATAAATTTGACGTCGTATTTATACCATGCTTCTGTGTGCCAAGGTGGATATGAACCAAGCTTCCGCCGGTGAATCTCTCACATCTTTTGTATTGTTAAAACTGTGTTGCTTTGATCCGCACGACTCCCACATGTGGATGACCTATGTCTAAGGTGTTGTCGGTGCCCGATCTTTGATCAAATACAACTATTTTTTTAGTCTTAAAAAATTACATTAATTTATTGTATTTTTTTTATTTTTCGGTCCACATCATCGTTATTATTTCTTTATATAAACCTCAGTCCGGGGGTTATTATCCGGGGGGTTTATGTCAAGGGTTTTTTTTGTCCAGGGGGTTTATGTCGCGAGGGGGGGGGGGGGGTGTCCAGGGGGTTTATGTCGGGGGGTTTATGTCCAGGGGGGTTATGTCCAGGGGGTTTTTGACCGGGAGCCATTTCTAAATAAATTCAATGATTAACCAAAGGTTTTTTTTCTAATTCTTTGTATCCAACATTGTGTGATATCCATAACTTATCCTCTTCCATGTCTATCCCACTTCTCCATTTTTCCAGTTTCACTTCTTCTTACACCTGTCTCGCTTCTCGGAAATATGATGACTTTTTAATTATGTGTCATTTAAGTCTATATTCTCTAAATTAAAAACAATTGTGAAATCAGTCAATTGTTTTAATTAAAGTAAAATGTTTACATAAAAAATATGAAAATAAATTAAAAACATCTTCAAATTAAGCCAGTTGTAATAGATCTATATAAAAGAGACATTATATGTGTAAATAATAAAGGAAGAAGTAAAACATTTATATACACTATTTTTCTTTTACCGGCGCATATACTTATATCGCATGTAAAATCTTCTGGATTCTAATAGTGTCTAAACATACCTTCGTGTATTGTGTTACAGTGTCGTTATTAATTTAAACAAGTATAAAATTGTTATACTTTGACCCAAGATTCATCTTAAACTTTCTTTGGATTCTTGCGGAGTCTGGATTCTACGGCAATGCTATGATAATAACATTCTAGAATGTAGAGAAAAATTAAATGTAGAGAAAATTAAATTTGACACAACTAATTTATTAAAAAGAGCGCCCATGCCAGAAAATAAGGATTTGTGGTTTTTTAATTCTAGAGTTAAAAGATAGGTTAAGATAATCCATTGATAAGCGACAATATCCACTGTGACTACATGACATTTATTTTTATAAGTTATTAAATACTGTGCAGTAAATACAAAGCGAATAAAAACATTTTTTTCTCGTAGACGTAAATATAATGAAACTTACTTTTTTCACAGAAGTCTCCAGTTTTGCAAGGAGGGCACTCATTACATTTACCATCAACATTATCACAAGACTGATTCACGCAGTTCATGCTACAGCTGGCCTTACAGTCTACACCGTAGAATCTTTCTCTACATGCTGGCAACATAGACATCAATAAGTTTTTAAACTGTTAAAACAAACAGGTTGACGATAAATGATGATTTCGAAAAACTTGGCTACGGGGGACTACTTGGCTTGTACCTATTTGCGGTACTAAATAAGACATAACTACTGACGTAATATGTGCATGGTACGAAGGTATATACATGATAATTGTGAAATTGTGAAATAGCATAGACAGTCATGTTACACACAGGTTTAATGAAAGTGTGAAAATGTACCAAAAATATAATCGTGTTCAAATCAGCAAAAATACACGTGTGTAAATAAAACGAGGAAACCCCTCACAGAATGATAATGTTTATTGTAAACTTATTAAAGGACATATCAACCATCTCCATGACTCTACCGTTTGTACAAGTTGCTCCTTCATATCCGGGTTCACATTGACAAGTTCCATCAGTTGCCTTACAAATCGTGTTGCAATGAGTGGAGCAGGTAGTGGAACAGTTCATTCCGTAAAAGCCAGCCTTACATTCTGTTTTAAATAACCACTGTAGCATTAGTACAAAAGTATTTTTACTCTTAATTTAAGATAAAAATAATTTACATAAAAAACGAATATAAAAGTAAAGACTATTGACTATTTTAGGATTACCATCTTGGCAGGTTGGAGGCATGTACCCAGCTTCACACCCATTGGTGCAGACACCAGTCACGTGATCACACTGTGTATCATAACATCTCAGATCACAGTAGTTGGCGCAATCTTTACCATACTTGCCAGATGGGCAGGCTGAAACAAGTTACATGGTCATAGCAGTCAAGTTAGGTTTTCTTATTTTCAATCTAAATCTAGGTAAATAAAAAGTGTATTCGAATATCAAAAGAAACATGACGAACACACACATGCAAACACCGCCCGAGGATAATACTGCACGCTGCTATATATATATATATATATATATATATATATATATATATATATATATATATATATATATATATAATATATATCTATAAACATGTGATTCATCTGTATGTCTAACACTTTTGCACAAGCAACTGACTAGTATAGACCAGTTATATTTTTAATATGTTTGATTAACAAATTTAAAATTAAAAGAGGTGTTTCGATTTTTATTTTTTATTTTAATTTTTAATTTCTCGTACACAGAGTGCAGACGAAGCAATGTAATCGTGCTGAATAATTAACACATATTTTGATAGTTTTCGTCGTTTACACCTCCCTACAGTATCATATACAGAACATAAGGGATGCACACACAACAATTTAATCGTGCGAAAAATCTAAATAAAGCAGCTTTGAAGTTTATATCCTTTCGAAACGTAATAAAGCGGTTTAGAAATTTGTTCTTTGTGTCTGTGTGTCTGTAAATACAATAACTTGAGTACCGTTTAAGTTATGTTGACGAAATTACAAATATAAGTATAACTATTATTTCAAATGTGTGTACCTATAACAACTTTTAAGAGATTTCTCGATTAAAATAAGTCCCTTATACTCCGTATATGATGGAGTACTGAGGTGTAAAACGATGAAACTTTCAACATTTCATGTGATTTTTTTGCACGATTACATTACTTCCTTTATACTCGGTTTTCGAGAAAGAAATAACATTTCTATTTGACGATTGCACTGAAGTGCCATCCCCTTTACTATTTTTTTTTACGAATATACGTAAAAGCTAAGGACAGATCACTACCGTTTGTTTGTATTATCCACTGTTAAAACGTATTAAATTAAATACAATTTAAAAAATAAATTCAAAATGAAAGAAAACATTACTGGCAATGCATCCTTCACCATAGAAACCAGCTTTACAACCAGACAGACATCCGCCTGTACTGACCAAGCATGTCTCTGATGTGACGTCACAGTTACACGAGTACTCACAGTCTCGGCCAAACTTGCCGGGATCACAGATGGAGTCTGGTGGAATACAGATGGAACATTATGCAGGTCATAGACTCTCATAACACGTTTATTAAGGTTATAACAAAATATATCATGTATTTAATAGCTTTAATCAGCTAATAAGAAAATTGGATATGTTATTTGTGCTAAGAAATCGATTGTTTTTGTCTTAAAAGTTATACAAGAAGTTAAATGTAATATTAAAAAATATACAGGAATAGCCTGCACGTGCTATGTTCATTAACAGTCAGACAGACGAGGATGAGAAACCAAGCTTTGATCACACCTATCTCGAGTGGTGAATCTGTGACCAGTTAGAACAGTCGCCCGTTCTTGTGCTAGACAAGAACAGAACAGTCCAATTACTTAACACATGTAGCCTACTTTATCTAATGGTCTCAACATTACACAACTTATTGTTTCTCACCTCCGTAAATTTCAACCTCACATAAAGTAAGAATTTTGAATAGGTTGACGACACTAATTTCAACAAAATTAATGTCTCTCAGTGTGGTGTTGTGGAGGATAGTATACACTGGCTGTATGTTGTTTGGATCCTGGTAAGAAAAAACTTCTCCTTTGCTGTTGCTTGATTTTAATGTAAAGTTCATTAGCCGATCAGCGTTGGCTGTTAAATATATACAAAGTTTTTCATTTTAAGACAACAATACGCGATTAGAAAATAATTATGCTATTAAGATTTCGATAAAAAAGAACAATTATTAGTCTGGGGTAAATTAATTCTGTCGTTAAATTTCTGAGTAAAAATATGAAAACGGGTGTATTACAATTAACCTCTTATAACTGTACGATCATTATTTTGGAAGTTTTAAGTGATATTTAACAATCGAGTTGTAGGTTCCTGGACAATAACCCCTTGGACATTAATACTCCCCCCCCTCCATTCCCTGACATACAACCTCTGGAAGTTATCTCCCGCTACGTATGCCCACCTACTCAGATCGCCCACCCCATCCTATATTTGAATACAAATTTCATTTGTAAGATTCTTAAGCTGAGCCAGAAGATGGGAAATTTATTTTGAAAAATATGTCAAACCGCCAGGTTGAAGATCATCAACTAAACACCTGTTGTATTATGGAAACATATTATTGCATGAATGTTGAGGGTGACATGCAGAAAAGGAACAATTCAGCAGAAGGCAAGTACCCAATATTCTCTCAAATATGCGATGATGCCATCCAAATATAGGAAATTCATCGTCTTTATAAGTAAATAACAATAGCCAAATGATGCATACAATATTGGAAAAACAAAAAAATTTCGGTTTTTCCATAAATAAACCTACAACTAACGAGGGGTAATATCATTGTCTAAGGGTATGTGTTGTGTGAGGAAATGTGAGGTTAATGAAGAGATATCATTTCTGGGGATGTAATGCCCAGAGATTACTTATGTTACACCCAGTTTGCAGGTGGAACAGAATTTGGTTAGGACAAAGTCGACTTTTTGTTGACCAGGCCGGAAAACACTAAAAACAGCTTGATATTTATTATTAAGTTTTCTTTTTCATTATTTAGCACGTATTGTATGTGAAGCATAGAGTTAACCCATGTTATACTTTTTACTTATGTCTTGTGAATAAGCGTCCAACTTGATAAAAAGAATTGCAAAAATGTACTAACAATTAATACAAACCCAACTTATGTTGATTTATTTGGAAAGTGCACCCCACACCTGGAGAGAAAAGTCTATAAGAAACATTATCTGCATGATTGAGATTTAGTGGCCAAAAGTAGGAAACGGGTTTAGATTACAGACATTACAGACAATTTTAATCAGTATGACTTACAAATGTGACCAGTTTTCTACATATTTTCTACCCGGAAGAGTGAAGGGCATTTGAGATTTTCGAGGGGGGGGAGATGGACTAAATTTCAGGGGAGGGGGGGGGCGGACACAGGTAACAGTATATTTTCTATATACATTTTATTTTGTAACAGGAGGCGGTAGACATTCGTCCGGAGCGCCCTACCACCTAACAAGAGTTGCCTGAAAGAAACTATGAATGCGACTTTTGTCAAGTTTGAGCTTAGATGCAATTTTTGGGAACATGACTACGACAATGTTTAGTATGAATGCGCAGTAACTACGTCTAGATCAAGGTTAAAAAAGTTTAAAATGAATTCTGGATAAAAATCCGTTTCCAACCACTTTCATTTCCGGTTAAATTTGAAGTGAAGTTGAGATGGTGATTGTGGGTTTGGTTTCAGTTTAGAGAAAAAGACAACACTATCAACCTAGCGCCTGTTTTATTTCTCCCTCAACGTGCCATTTATTTAATACTAGGGTACCCGTCCCCGCGCGTTGCCGCGGGAATAGAAGAAAGTCAGACAAAATATATAAGAAGGTTTTCATCCATGCGTTACCAATAATATTTTCTTAGACGCGTCACCTTGTTTTCTAAAAGTGAGTTATTTGAATGTAGACAATGCCTGCGCTTGGATCATAAATATGGGGACACGGGTTAACCTACACTACGGCATGAAAACTTTGAGTGTTAGTTAATCACTCACCGAAATAATGAGGAAGAACACACTTCGGTGACCGCCCATGAGTCAGGACTTAGAGGGGCGCTCTTGGAAGCCCCCCCCCCCCCGATTACACTACCGCAGACGCGCAGCGCACGGCCTCTGGCTCCTTAAAACTAGCATAGGTGCCATAGTGCTCACAGGATGACCCAGAGCGCCACATAGCATCCGGAAACAATTATACAGATTGCGTCATTCACTAAAGTGACACAAATCAACAAGATTTTTTTCTTCAACACGTAGACAAAAATATTTAACGTGTTATAAACATCAGTGTGACTGATGCAATTTGTAAGCATTACTAATGGTGTATTATCAGAAGCTTGATCTCAATTTCTGAATGGATTGTCTAAAAATAGATGCTAATGGCATCATTCGCAAAGTGAAGAAACTGTTTGGTTTTTTTTTTACGGACTCAAGGAAACAACCCAGTTAATAACCTAACCTTGGTTAATATTTGTGATTATAAAAAAAATATATCACAGAGCCTTCTGGGGCCCATGTGAGCGTATGGGGGGCGAAACTGAAATTTTTGTTCTCAGCCAAATCGTACCCTACCATGGCGTTTGCGAACACGCCTTATTTAATTAAGTGAGCGACTATAGCGCACCATATTATCCATTATCTATCACACTGTTTAAAACGAACGTAGTCGCCATAGCACTCACGGGAAAGACCAGGGCGCCAAATTTCATCCTTCCGGTGGCCGCCTGCGCGAAGTTAAATCCCCCCCCTCAGAAACCTTATCTGGAGTATTCATCAACTCCCTAAAGTTTTATGGCACTCGGATAAATGGTGTCGAACCGCAACCGACTTTTATTTTTGTATACCGTATATACAGAAAAATCGCACCATCCCGGGGCGCTGCCCTTGCGAAATTAAAACAAATGTTGTTCCACAAACCTCTCATGGAGTGTCCTAATCAACTCTCCAAAGTTTGATGGCGATCAGAAGAGAGACAAGCAAACAGACACACGCACATTGCTTTTTTATATATAGATACGAATATTCGAGAATATTTAGGGGAGATTACTTGCGCTGTATTTAAATTGTTTTGATGTTGGGAACAAATATTTTCTAACGAGTCGACCCGCGGCGTATCATTCGCCGCTATTTAGTTGTTTTATTTTCTACTTTTCAGTAATTCATAATTTGTGAATTCAACAGTACCAATGCTGCCACTTAATATATTTGCTTTAAAACACTATCAGTAGCTCGTTAGGGACGAAAACCTCCCCCCCCCCTAATTTCCCCAGCCCCCCCCCCCCCCCTCCGTGAGAGCAGCCTCCTCATAGTTACATCCCCTAAGTTTAAAATCGTTTCAAACTAAATTATCTGCCCCTAATAGCCGTCACTAAACCCTGCTCTACGATTGTAAACATTTAGCGTGAACCACAGCTCATCAGACCATGTAAGGGGATATGCGCGACAAAAAAAACACAAAATTTCTTGTTTTTCGTCATGATGGGTTTCTTGCACTTTTGCATACTTTGTCCATTTTTGTATTAGGAAAATAATAACTTTAAAGAGAAAAAAACTTTTTTAGGTGTTTAAATTACCATTTTTATGACCCTGTTAATTAAAAATAATCAATTTTTCTCAATCTTACACGCTCTCTATAAAAAGTTGTATATCTCTCATCATATTGTATTTGGCATCATTGGAAAGCTGGATTTCTCCTTTATTTGATAATCTTAATTTCCATCATCTCGGAAACACCCAAAGCTTACAATCGGCTTTGCAGTTTACCCAGATATGGTATTTTCGTGACCTACTTTTCGTTACTTTTGGCTGCTTTTCTCAGTTTGAATGTTTTTAACACTACAAAGCCTACTACTTTTTAAGTTATTAAACAATCGCAACCATATTTTCAGTAATTGTTCTTCGTGCAAAAATACAACTTTTGTCACGAAGGAATTGTGATGGCTTATATAGAAAAAAAGTATTTGGTAATTAATATGCAAATTTTGAAAATTTTAAACACTAAAAATGGTACGATTTTGTAGACTTTGTAAAATTCTTACTAGTAGCTATTTCAAAAAGTTTCCTTGACAAAAGTTTTAATATATCCTGAAATATAAGCAGTTAAAATTTGATTGCTCTAGGTGCATAAATAAAAAAGCCTTAGCATTTTTAAAAGTACCAAAAAATTCAAAATTGCGGAGGTTTTTTCAGGTTTCCATGACAACCAAAATTGTTTTCAACCCTTTTTTAGCTGTTTAATACTTACTTTTATATGCCAAACATGATAAAAGTATTCAAAATGCTTTAGATATTAGATTGTAAAAAATAGGAAAAAACATAGCATATCCCATGCGGGTGGTAGGGAGCGAGCTTACAGCTTGGAGTTTTCTAGGGTCTCCAAGAAGAGAATTATATATATATATATATAGATAAGAATGGTTTGATATAGTGCATTGTGGTAGGTAAAACACAGATATTTTAAATACTACTTTTTTAATTCATTTTATACAATGAATGTACTATTAGTAATTCTTGTTTTTGATAAATAACAGTTTAGAAGCTGTTCCTAAATGTCCTCTATGTTTACGTTTGTGTTTCCAATGGCGTTATTGTTTGCGCTTGTGCTTGCGTTTGCGTTTGTCTTTGTGTTTGCGTTACGTTTGCGTTAGTGGTTTGATTTTGGTTTTGGTTGTTTGCGGTTAGGGTTAAGTTTAGAGTTAGGTTTAGGCTCATGTGTTATTTTCTCACACATTCATATTTTCATATTACCATAAAAACATTTAATTCGAAAATTAAACTATTTTTTAAACACGGCCATGACGGGCATATACTGCTTAATAAACACACAAGTCACAGTCTTTTACGGATAGGTTTTTCACAGGCCAGTGCAATGCCTGGCCGGGACGACAAATGAAAAATAAATACACAAATTATTAAATCAAACGTCAATCAAATAGCAATGATTTAGACCCAATCGCAAGCTTTGAAAATATCCTTTGTCTACTTTTTGGGTGGGAATATTTTTAAAAACATCCGTACCTATGCCACCTGAATAATTAGTTAAAGCAATATTATCTTTAAAAACTCTCATATCAATTGGTCAAAATATTTTGTAGTATTTAGTATACTATCCGGTAATCATGACATAAAATCTTGTTTAAATTAAATTGTATCCTAAGTTAAACCATTCGAATGTCACCTAATAGAAACAACAAACAGTTATATCATTAAATCTATAGTCGCAAGCTAATAATTCATTAAAACTCATTAATCTATTGTGTTTTTATAGGCGTAGAATCGAGTTGTTCCGAAAGACCTACTCAAAAGCTAAATAATTTCCAAGAATTACAGAAAAATTAAGGACGGGATGGAATGGGATTGAAATTATATAGTCTATATTATATTTAACGCTTGTTTAGTTCCATAAACTTTGTGGTGTGCAGCGATCAGTTGACACTTTTTTACTAGAGGGGTCTTTGTAAGCACACAGTAAAAACATGCAAAAAACAAATAGAGCCAGTACCTTTTCTGTTAAAGATGTCATATCTGTAAACTGGACGAATTTTATCCAAAGTAAGATTCCATTTTGGTTGATGTTTTGTATCTGTATGTGTGCAGCTTTTTCCATCCAAAACTGGGTTAGTATTACCATCAACAGCATTCTCAGCTCGGGTGTCAATTGACGTGTAGCCATAGCCAACTAATGTTCCAGTTTGTGTTGCTTTTTGTCTTAAAGCAACGTTACGTCCTGCGTAAAACCAATTAAACAAAGTTATACGAATAGAAATCACGCATGAGACATTGAAAAGCATGCTTATATGCATAACAATTAAGAACTGTCTTGCAATATATACAAAGATGGAAAGTTCCTAATTCTAAAAACTAAAATACATTGGCCTCATAGATTATGCGTGCTTCAGTTAACACTCCATTTTACCAACATAGTGGGATGTGTTTAATTATCTAGAAAATTTCTTGTATCTGTTAAGTTACATGTATACATATACATACACACACACACACACACACATATATATATATATATATATATATATATATATATATATATATATATATATATATATATATATATATATATATATATATATATAGTTTATGAAAACTCACCTCCGCTTATATATAAAGAACATAGTTTTGATGGTGAAGACATCTCTATCTTTATTTCCTTCATGTACAAAACATCTTTGCAATGGAAATCTAAAGTTGTCTCGTTAATAAGAACAACAGTGTTGTTGTTGCACTTTGTGAGCACATCATTCCTATTTTTAACAGTAACAGATATATTGTTGTCTGCTTCTGTAAAAAAAACGGAAAGCGTTTAGTATTATAAAAACAATAATTTGGGTAGTTTGTTATAGTTAGAAATTGTGCAAATTAATAATTTAATATAAATGAATATATGCTGCGTTAGATTGCATATTTTAAATTTTGCAATCCCCTCAAAATACGCGTCTTTGAAAAACACACTGAAGTTTTGTTAATTGTAAGGGAATATTTTTTAAAATCTTTGTAAACAGAAAATGTTGATACGTATGACGCTAAATTTGCCAAAATTTTCAATATAACAGTTCAAAGTCTACGAGACTAGTTTTGTAAGATACTACTTTTTCTAGCAAAAATTAAGTGATTTAGAACTGTTTGAAAAAAAGAGACGTAATTTCCTTCAGCGACAGAATCGGGAAAAATTGATTTCGTATACAGGTTTACAACTAAATTTAAAGTTGACCCTAAATGTTAGTAATTTCTAGTTAAAAATTGTTCTTGTCTTATAACAAATTATATGTTATCTCATGGTATGGTGACCCGTCAAAAGAGCGCACGACAAAAGAGCGCCGACATAAGAGCGCAGACAAAAGAGCGCCGACATAAGAGCGCTGACATAAGAGCGCATCAATTTGCCGACAAAAGAGCGCCGACATAAGAGCGCAAACTAAAGATCGAAAAACCATATTTAATAAATAGGAACAAGAAAATTAACTCAGATCAGACGTCATCCTTTGAAGCAAACTCTTTATTGTTTCATTAAAAAACTAATTGTTCAGTTTCTTTAACTAAAAAACTGATATAATCAACATGAAGTCAAATTATTCAAAACGCAACATAGTAACACATACACAGATTTTAAAAGTTAGGCCTAAAGTGAGAATATAAACTGAAATAAAATGTAAAATAATGAAAATGAAATGAAAATAAGTTCAGATTAATAAAATGTTTCTTTATAGTTGCATTTATAATGCTAAGTTGTGGGCTATACCCCGTAGGTAGTCCATCATTGAATCATTAGCATAGGTTGAAACAATCGCCTGCAATCTTCGGTTCAGCTGAACATATTTGTTCTTTGAAGCTTCTGGTTGATTAACTCCAGCCAGATGACGTTCCAGTTCAATTTCGATGTGATCTTGTTCCAGACGAAACTGGTTGATCAACTTAAAAACGGAAGGATGGTTGCAATCTACCGTTTGTTGGAATGCGCGATGCCATGCCTCGACTGAGTTGTTTGTACGTGGTAGATTTTCAGAGACACGATTATGGACATTCCAAATAGCAAGAGCGAAGCGTGGGTCACCTCGACGGTTTCTCCTTCGCCTCCCTATGTAACTATCCTCCCAATAATCTACCAGTGGCATAATTTCTGCAGGACTAGCTTCTACTAAATGCTCAAATGCAGTACAGACATCATTTACAGGAACAAAACTTAAGGCAAGCAGCATCTTCACTGCCATTCGACATTCCTCGTTGTCGTGATACAGTTGTGATAAGCCTAAATCTTGCACTTTTCGCCAGAGGCATTGGCCTAGGTGAAATAGACAACCAACAAGACGTGCATTGGGAAACACGCGCTGAATTGCATTCTGTGTGGCTTTCTCAAAATCAGACATGATGCTCGCTGGTTTCACGGTTGGTAGAAGTTCCAGAACAATAAACCAACGGCACTGCCTTGTTATCTATCAAAGCATGAATTGTAAATACCTGATAGAAGATTACTGGTGCAACTCTGAATGTTCCATCCACAAACCAATGTTCATTTTGCTGTAGACGATTGATATTATCCATTGTTCCGAACATCATCATTCTGTAAACGTCAGTAGGTCCGGAATCCCACAAGATGAAATTTTGCCGTCTTGTTGTCGTTTGAAGAGGATCAGGAATTGTTATCTCAGCAACGTTCTGTGGATTTGGGTATGGCAGCTGCTTGCGTTTTCTCTGTCTTTCTATTGCACGTTGTGAAGCGACGTATGCCGGCAAATGAGGTGCTACTTCCATCGAAATTCCTCCTCTGGCTTGTTGAATAATCTGCCTTGGTTTTTCCACCCCTTCCACTGCCCGTGTTCGTATAGCCGAAACGACTTTCGCTGCTTCGTTTTTAGCCGGATCTGGAGCGTGATTGTGTTCTGATGATGACAGAACAACATCGTTCAGCATTTTCATCCGTCCTCGGCAGCCATCTTTCTTGCAGCATCTCCATGTCGTACTTCCATCAGCATTTGCTCTGTCCTGTCTATATCTGTAGCCTTCGACCAAAATAATTACCTTCCCTTTCTGTGATACGATCTTCTCCATGTTATCTGGACTAGAAATATTTTCAATTTGCATTTATACCATATCAACCACAATATATAAATAAACACATGTCTTTTTATCGTACCGCCGATTGTTTAATGCCATATTTGTTTAGCTTACCACATGTGTTTTTATAATTGACTGCGCTCTTTTGTCGGCGCTCTTATGTCGGCGCTCTTTTGTCTGCGCTCTTATGTCTGCGCTCTTTTGTCTGCGCTCTTATGTCTGCGCTCTTTTGTCGGCGCTCTTTTGTCTGCGCTCTTATGTCGGCGCTCTTTTGTCGTGCGCTCTTTTGACGGGGTGCCCTCATGGTATATATCACATAACAGTTGATTCATTTAAGTTTTATAATTTCACGTTTTATTCGATGATAAAAATCTATAAGAGACAAATAACCACTCACTGTAGCTAAACACTAATCTCATCCATGTAAATATATACTCTCTATTCCACTTAACCTCCACTGGTGAGGCTTGTCCTACGCAGGTGGTACTAGTTTTAAAAGGTGAAGAAAATGTGTCTTTTGCAGCAATATTCTCTGTTGGAGAAGAACAAACGTGTCAAACCGGAGTTTAAAAGTTCAATATAAATCAGGATTATTTAATTCAGGACGGACAAATTAATCTTTTTAAATGTACCGTATTGACAGCTGGGTCCAAACCATTTAGGATCACACCCATTCGTGCACCTTCCGCTATCGTCACATGGTTGGTTATTGTTGCAGCGGCATTTATACTGGCAGTTGGTACCAAACCAGCCAGCCTCACATGCTGTAGACGATGCAACACAGAACTATTAAAAAAAACACACCAGCACATTCCCGGTAACACCCCACCCCCACATTAAACAGCTTACCCAATATTCTACCTCACCCCACACTCAATGTATATCCCCAGGTGCGGAACTACAGTGCCGCCAGACCCCGCAATGCCGGGGGGGGGGGGGGGGCACGCCATTTAGGGGCCCATAGCCGACCATAGTACATTTTTTATAGTTAAATAATTTTTTCTTGAATTTTAGACTTGACGGTAAAAAAAAGCTTTTGTAAATAACAAACAGATCTACTACAGTAGTGCTGTTATACAGTAGCTAACACATGCTGTTGCCTAAACAAATATAAGATGCCTGGGCTGTAGAGTAAAAGATAGGCAAATGTCCAAAACACTTCCATAACTTATTTCCCTTATTTAAATAGTTTAAAAATGGTGCTCCTGGGCTCCTTTTAATATATTTGTACTAAACAAATTAAAAAGCAATTACTCCACTTAATTATTATTTTAAAAAATACATGCTAAAGAATGACATTGCATAAAAAGGAACTGTATTTGAAACAAAGAATACTATGAAAAACTAGACGGACTTCCAGAAAGACAGCAGAATTTAAAAGCACTAGTTCTTGCTTTGCGAAGAATTAGGAGACTTGTGTTTTTATTTGTTTTAATATTCTGGCAAAGAATTCTGCATACGACTTTTAACATATCAATTTATTTATCAAAAAGTAGCGTTGGTGTGTCAACAGCTTTCGATTAATTAAGATTTTTAAAACGAGATGAGAGTCTGGAGAAATGAATTTCAAATCGGAATTTGAGCAGATCGAGAAAGGATCCACTGAGCTGGCTGTGAAATGTGATATTTGTACAGAGTATCAGCAACACAGTTAATAAAAACGTAAAAGATCCCATGACGAAGGTGCAGAGGATAAGCAGATTTCTGACTCTTGGAGAAAGATCGTTGTTTAAACTTATTTAGAGCCAATGGACAGTGTCATAACTAGAAGAAACACAAGTTTTCAACATTTTAAAAATGTGTCACCCAAGTTTAGTTGTTTAGAGCCAAAACATTTTAAATTAGATGACAGCTTGAAACATGTAGAACAATAAAAATTTGACTTACTCTGATATAATTGAAAGTGGAATTGAGGTAGTTCAGGAGTTCGTATCATTTAGAATATTTTACCTAGAAGTTATTGATGTTTTTACTAGAAAGAAACCTTGAAGAAAAATGATGTAGTTCTATCAAAAGTTCTAGAATACAGCATAAAACAAAATTGTTATCGAATCTGTTTACACTGACACAATAATAAATGCTTTATTTTTCAACTAAATAAATTAATTAATCCATTAATATTTAATTTATTGTTTTATAATTACCTTTTCCCTGTATTGGCATCAATGAAACCAATACAGTCGCTAACACAATCTTCAGCCAGGTCGACATTTTTCTGGATTGATGTTCTTTGCAATGGAAATATATTTATACTATAACTGAGAACAAGAGTTAATATTTAAAATATATGTTAGTTTCATATAACGATTAAGAAGAAATAGAAAAGATGTGTTGTTCGTTTTAAATTTCGATGATTTTACGTCTCAACATTTAACCAAAATATTATCCATTTTTAATTTTTTTCTAATTTAAATTAAATGCATTACCATGGCTTACATTGGTTAAATTGTTCTGTGTTAACGAGTGATGTTAAATTCAATATAAACTTATGCTGCACATCTTTTGAGCGTAAAAATAGATCCAGTATCAATTTAAAAATACAATTTTCGATAAAATATTAATTTGTACTAAATAGCTTTGAGGGTCTAGCTACTCTGGGGTCATCCATAAATGAAGTCACGGTTTTTTGTGACGATTTGTACCTCCCCCCTCTGTCACACATCGTCACCAAAAGCCAGAACCCCCGCCCCTAAAATGACGTCGCACCTCAGCCTACAACTCACCCTCAAAATTGCAGTTAAATTTTTTTTAAACATCGATATTTTTTCCAAAATCTTGCCTGAACGCTGTCTACATAAATTATTTTAATCAATTCTTATTACAATTTCTTAAAACAGTTTTCTAAAACGCAAAATAATGGCTAAAACTCGTTTTCTAACATTGCTTTTTTATAATGCAAAAGTGTGACATCACACTATCTGAACATCCCCCCCCCCCCCTCCCTTCCCCTCATCACACTCCGTCACAAAATTACGGACTCCCCTCACCCGATACAAGTGTGACGTCATTTATGGACGACCCCTATGGGAATAAGATTACCGTTAATTATTAATTAGTAGCCTGGTTATATGGCAATGATCTAGGTTAGCTTTAAGCTTTAGATATTCGTAATCAAGGTATTTGCAGTAGATTTATCCTAATGATGTTTAAAATTTTAAAACAATTGTTTCACCAATTCTAATACTCAGGCTTTTCTGCTTAGGTCGAAATAATTCTTAGCCAAGATTATAATATTACGATTTTAAAATATTAACTTTTAAAGCGTTAGTCTTAATAAGATGAGTGAGAGGACACACGTACACACCAACTGGGTGTAGTCAGACTGATGGATTTTACATCAGATTTTAGATTTTTTTCCGTTATTCGTATTCAAAGCGACACATGAAGCAATTATTTTTATCATAAACACATTACTCGCATTTAAGGAGAAAATGACTTGAGTGACAGTGTTAATTAGAGAATTTAATACACATTTTAGGAGAAATCACATCCGCTTTATTCAAATTATTATATTGGCATTGTAATAAAATTAACCTGCGAAATTCGTAGGTTTTATTTCATAATTTACTTACGTAACATATATTTAGTAATGACATACATCTTTTCGGTTACTTAAAGCGCCCATTGTCGGT